TCAAATACAACCAACTGCGCAAAAGAATCCGGGAGTACGAAAGCGAACACCGTGAGATACAAGAGTCCAACCAGAAGCTAATTGAAGAATGGAAGGACATGGCTGTCAGGGCCAACAAGCGACTGGGATACTTGGAGCGAGGCACAGTGGGATTGGAGAGAAAGTTTCTCAAAAGGGTCGAAGACTGTCAAAATGCTGAAGGGACCGAAGGCGGACATCTAGCCAGAGCCTACCTGTTGCTAGGACTTCGCGAGTTGGGAAAGTTGTTCGACTGAGCCAAAGATGCCGAATCTGGGGGAAGGTCCTTCTGGGACCAAATAGATAGGAGTTTATCTTTTCGTTTTATAAAATGTAAGAAGGTCAAGGGTCATTAATGACTTATTTATTACCTGTTTATTTAGTGTCAATTTGGGATTCGCCTAATTTTTATCAATAAAATGAGTCATTTAGCATCCTAAGTTCTCCAAATTAATTTGTCGCTAGGCCCACCTCAGGCATAAAGAGGTCCCCAAATTAGGGCGCGTTTTACATTCCCGCACTATGTGTTTAAATACTACAATACTTTTTATGATCCTCACTAACTTAGTTACCTTTTTGTTTTTACTTTTTGTTTTTATTATACCCCTCCCCAAAGGTTAGTTCGTGCACTTTGGCAACATCATCCTATTCCACGAGATCCAGGGGTCCTCCACCCACTCCTCCTCTTATTCCTATCAAAAATAAGAACAAAGGCAAAATGGAAGATTTGAACAATGTCAGAAAGGAGAATTCAACTGAACGGGTAGAGGCCACCAATGGCCATGGTACTCAGGTTCCTAAGGAGAATGTATCCCAAATTGAACAAAAGCTGTTGAAATTCCAAGAAGAGCTCGATCAGGTTTGGAATCTGGTAAGCCTTTCATTTTCCCTCATCACCCCAAATATCAACTTTCCCAATACTCAAGACCCTACACCTCCTCAAAATATCCCAAAGCAATAGAATCATCCCCCTCCTCACACTATTCCACCAAAGACCTAATGCAACACCTACCATACCCCAAACAACACTCTACTACTCATCCCAGAACTCCAAAACTCCACAAATGACCATTTTCACACCCACCATAACACCCCCATCTACGTGGAGACCATGCCACACTTCACCCAACCTATCTCAAGCACACCCGAGTCTGATGAAAAAGACCTACTCGCCAGGAACCTGGTTGAGGAACTTAAGAAATTGACTAGCCGGATTTAAGGCGTTAAAGGAAGCAAGGGAATTAAGGGACTAAACTATGAAGATCTTTCCATACAGCCCGATGTCGAACTTCCTGAGGGGTACAAACCTCCGAAGTTTGAAATGTTTGACGGTACAAGTGATCCAAGGGTCCATTTGAGGACGTATTGTGACAAGCTGGTTGGAGTATGTAAAGACAAGAGAATCCGCATGAAGCTGTTCATGAGGAGATTGAAAGGAGATGCGCTGTCTTGGTACATCAGCCAAGATCCAAAGAAGTGGTCAAGCTGGGTTGACATGGCGTCCGACTTTATGGACAGGTTTAGGTTTAACACAGAAAATGCGCCGGATATGTTCTATATTCAGAATCTAAAGAAGAAGCCTACAGAAATGTTTCGTGAGTATGCTACTCGTTGGAGGTCCAAAGCTGCTAAGGTCAGACCCGCCTTAGAGGAGGAGCAGATGAAAAATTCTTTGTTCGGGCCTAAGACCCGCAATATTATGAACGACTAATAATGATTAAAAGCCACAAATTTTCTGACATTATCAAACTGGGTGAAAGAATTGAAGAGGGTATCAAAAGCGGTATGGTTACGAACTTCGAGGCCTTGTAAGCTACAAATAAAGCCTTACTGTCTGGTGGCGTGTCCAAGAAAAGGGACGTAGGGGCCGTGATGGTTGCACAAAGGACCAAATCTCCTATCAAATACCAAACTTACCCAACACCTCCACTCACATATCATCCCACTCCGAACTACCAAGCACCCTTACCCTCCTATCAAGCTCTACCATCCACTTATCAATCACCTCCACCTCCCACATATCAACCTACTTCACCCAGATACTACCAACCCGCTCATGTATACTAAACCTATAATACTCAACTATCCCACTATCAATCACCTCCTGCACGACAAAACTTCCCTAGGCTTCGGCCAAATTTTGATCGCAGACCTCCAAAACAATATACAGTCATTGCTGAACCTATTGACCAGTTGTATGAGCGACTCAAAGCTGCTGGTTATGTCACCCCCCCCCCATCCCTACTGCAACCCTTGAGAACCCTTCTTAGTGGTTAACCCAAACAAATCCTGTGCATACCACTCCGTCATGAAAGGGCACACCATAGATGAATGTCGTTCCTTGAAAGACAAGATCTAGACTTTAATTGATAACAAGATTATTATGGTAAAGGAACCCGCTCCAAATGTCTGCAATAACCCTATGCCCGACCATAAGGTTAGAGGCATTCACATGATTGAAATAAAGGATGATTGGGATCCCGATGGATCAATCGGGTTGATCGCAGAAGGCGATGACCCAAAGAAGTCAATAGTTACTCTTAATCCAATCATAGTACAGATTCAACCATCTGGGGATGCTAAGGTAAATATGTATGTGCCACTTGAGTTTGAAGCAACGTCGTCTACAAAGACACCAACGCCAATTGAGGTCGAATTCGTGTCTCCGGCAAATGCACCCACACCGTTTGAAGTTGCAGTTTTACCACCCAAGGCATATGCTCCGTTCGGAGTAAGGATAGCCACGCCGATCCCAGTGGCGATGTTGACCGTGACACCATTCCATACAAAGGCTATACCCTGGGACTATACAGCCGAGGCAAAAAGAAAAGGCAATGTTAGGTTCGAAGAGACTGTTGCAGCACAGGGTATGACAAGAATTGGTAGAGTCTATACCCCTGAACATCTAGCTGAGTCAAGCAAGCAGGCCTCCAACCAACCACCCATCATTAAGATAGGTCCAGACGATCTTTGGAGAAAGATACAGGCTAAGGAATACTCGGCCATCGACCAGTTGAACAAAATAGCAGTGCAAATCTCCATTCTTGCTTTGCTACAAAATTTGGAGGCACACAAGAATGCTTTGCTAAGGGTACTGAGTGAGGCATACATACTAAGCAACATCACTGGCGGGAAAATGGCTAACATGGTAGGACAAGTGTTGGAGAGCCATAAGATCACCTTTCATGAGGACGAGCTTCCACCTGAAGGCTTGGGACACAACAAGGCACTGCACATCACCGTGTAATGTGAGGACTATTTTATCACCAAAATCTCGATCGATGGAGGGTCCAGTCTCGACATCTGTCCATTGGTAAGGGACTGCACGAGATAAAGGATGGGGCAATCAATGTGAAAGCTTTCGATGGTTCTCAAAGGTCCACAATTGGTGAGATTGTCCTATGACTGCAAATGGGACCAACATGGTTCAATGTCGATTTACAGGTAATAGACGTGCCAGCATCTTACAACCTGCTGTTGGGACTGTCACACCTCCTTTTTACCTACACCCCCGGAAAGGAGTATATAAGGGAGTTTTTTCCAACTTAAAGTGACAATCGAAACGGGATTATTTTATTAAAAATTCAAAGTCGCCACTTGGGATAATTATGGTGTCCTAAGTCACCGGTTCAAATCCCGAATCGAGGAAAAGATTGACTCTGTGTTACAGTCCGCGAACCAGAAATCCGGGTAAGGAATTCTGTTAACTCGGGAGAAGGTGTTAGGCATTCCCGGGATCCGTGGTTCTAGCACGGTCGCTCAACTGTCATAAATGGCCTAATTATCTGATTTTAATATATGTTTTAGCCTACTGTGCAATTTTAAACTTTATAACCGCTTTTATTTAAATATTTTTTTAGGAAGATTCAACATCACATAAAGCGCGTCTGGGACCACACCACATAAATTCACCCGTAGTCCGCAACATACTTTATCTAACATTGTTAAGATTTGGATTTGGGTCACATAAATGCGCACCCGAATTTAGGAAGGTGAATTTATTAAAATGGCGCGCCTAAAGCAACTACGCGTTTGCAACTTCGCGAGGGCCATGGAAATTCGCTAAATGGCATGCCTCGATTTCTAATTTCAAAGGATTTTATTATTCGAAATTGTTATAATCGGGTTACATGAAATGCACCCCCGAATTGAGATTCACATATCGCAACCATGCCACGGGAACAGTACCCACAACCACTAAACAATCATGCCACTTTCAACCTATTGAAAGTCCAAACCAAACAAATCTAATTCACTCCAATTTAAACAGAATCTATGTTGTGCCAATTCAGAAAGACCCAGAAGTTCTTGTTTCGACCACATCATTTTTCTTGTATCCACTTTCCAAATTATGTGCCAACCAGAAAATTCGAATAGCCCATTTGGGTACTCAACGTCAATAAACACAATAACACCATAAAATAAGTAAACAGGCCAATTCATAAGATAAGTAACCAAATCAACGTTAATCTCTCTAAGTCAGACATAAAAGAAGCCATATTGGTTTACGTACATAAAAGTAGTATGCCGAATCTTTATTGTTTTCAAGGTGCCTGAATCTAAATAAAGGAAAGATGCATTTTGTCTTACTGTTACTATTTCCATCCCAACTGGTATTAGGCTCAACATGCTACAAAGATGGATGACCAACAAGAATCCTTTGATCAAACAACTTGCAGGCTCTTAACTATGGCCAGTAAAGAAATGCCCCATCTCAAGATTTTTATTATTTTTTAAAGGCATCCCCCACCTTCCTAAACTTATTCACTTGTAAAATTGGTTATCTTCTCTGTCACAAGTGGGATTCAACAAGTGCAACCATGTATTCAACTAGAAGTTAATCAACTCAAGCACGTTTTTAAATAAAATCACAAATCATTCACATAATAGCTATTAAAACAGGTTAGGTAAACACACATCTCGATCAACCACACAATGCCATTTAAACTATGTAAAAAAACAGAGAAGAGAGTGAACCTTACACAGCAGATTTGAAGGTCGACTTATACAAAACTCGAGCCTAAAATTCGACGGAACAAGCTACAACAAAATTGGTCCAAGAAACCGTGAACTTCAACTTCGAATAGTCACCTTCGAACCCCGAAGCAGAAACAAAACTCAAACAAACTCCATGATCGGAATCGAATCAACTTCCGTTGAAATCAGAAGAAGCAAAACTTTGACATTTAAATGAACTCCATCAGATTCTATGGCTTTAAATTCGAAAACAGGCGAACAAGAGAAACTATGGGATAAAAATGGCTGCTGTTGCAGCTTCAAAGATGCTGGTCGTTTTTTTTTTTTTTTTTGGTTAAGAAACAACCATCGAAAATGGTTGCTTCCTCATTTTGTGTGCAAAACGGCTATAGCTTAGGGTCCCCTTAGGTCTGTTAGTTTTGTGTCAACGAATAAGGTACAGAGGCGTAAGGTTGGGTCTGTTTTTGTTAATCCAAAGCCATGGAAATGGGTGCTTTTGTTTTCTAGGAAAAAAAACCGATTGGGGAGGGGGGTCGTGTATCTTCTATTGCGGCGCTCCCTTTTTCCCAGAGTTCTTTTTGGATTTTTTAAGCATTGCTTTATATGTAGAGTCTAGGTTTAGGTGTATTTTTGTGTATTTTGCCCATTAGCCCTTAGGTCATTTTGTGTTAAGTCCTTAGGGTCCTTTTTATTTGTTTTGTTCCAGAGAAGAGTCTAGAAGGGTCCCTAGGCTTAATGGACTGATCCGAATTGAGCTCCAAAAATTCTTAAAATTAGGATCCAACACCTTAATTGACTCATTTTAAAATAAGATAAAAATACTACACAATGAAAAAGCTAACATGAAACTATTATATATTTTTTATATTTTCAAAATTATATAAAGATAAAAATAAGGTACTATTTATTATTTTATATTTTTTTTAAGAATTATGAATGATACATACTAAAGTATTTTTTTGTAATTTTCCATTTTTATGACAAAAATAAAGTAAAGAAGTCAAAAATAGTTGAAATAGCTATCCTGGGCCTAAATTAAATATTTACGTGCTAAAATATGAAAAATCTTGGGGAGGGTCAAAAATCACATGTCTACAGGGACGGCCATGGATTCATGCTGATGGGGTCGTAGCGTCAACACTACATCAAGTAATAAAATTCGAATGGAATCACCAATAGGTGATCATTCACAGCGACGGTAGCAACCCTATATACAGTCGTCAGACCATTCCGTCAATCGAAGGAAGAAGGAAGCTAGGTGGAGAGACTTACCACCACATTGAACGGGTAAATGTTGTTGACAAAGATAAATGGTGGGATAACAAAATTGAGAGTATACTGAATTGGAGTGGGTACGAACCTGGCAAGGGGCTCGGTAAGAACTTCCAAGGAATCTCTAAACCCATAAAACTCAAGAAGCATGGCACTACTTTCGGTCTAGGATATGATTACACCTGGGAGGAGTTCAACAACTGGTCACCACTATAGCGCGGTCCTTAATATCCACTGGAGCAGCCAATACTGCATTTGGAGCAGACTTTCCAATAGGCTGACATTGTTTATGGGTCATATGAAGAAGAAACACTTGCAGCGGTGAAGAACTTGTTCCTAGAAGGCAATGACATGGACTGTTGTGTTGTACTCGATGGGGAGGGGGAGGAAGGCCTTTCCATACAGGCTGCGAGCAGAGAGGCACACCTCAATAACTGGACCATCAGGACAACCAAAGCCCGACGAGCCTCGAGTTAGCAAGGCTAAAACAAGCATCATGCACTGTTTTATTTACTAAATGGTTTTCTTATCGCATTTTAATTCCCGCAATAATATCTTCAATGTTCAAAATAGTTATGAAATTCATCAAAGCATTTTGACTTTTCTTATGAATCAACACTCATTATTATTTTTCTCTCATTACTTTACTTATACAACATTACTATTATTTATCTTAATGAACCAATGATTGTGACATGCAATGAGACAACGCAACAAACGGACATTGATTCAGAAAAAGATGACATACTAGATGAGATTGTCAAAGAAGTTGAGAACTTTGAGAACAGACCTAAGTCTAACCTGGACGAGACAGAAATTGTTAACCTAGGAGATGCAGAAAACATCAAGGAAACACAAATCAGCGTTCACTTATCGCCATCAGAAAAAAAGGAATACACAGAATTTCTAAGGGAATACAGGATATATTCGCCTAGTCGTATGATGACATAACTGGTCTGAGTACGTCTATTGCGGCTCACAAACTGCCAACCGATCCAACATGCCCGCCAGTAAAGTAAAAACTGAGAAAGTTCAAGCATGATATGAGTTTGAAAATCAAGGAAGAAGTAACTAAGCAAGTCAAAGCTAAGGTTCTCAGGGTAGTAGAATACCCGACATGGTTAGCCAATATCGTGCCGGTACCAAAGAAGGATGGGAAGGTCCGAGTATGTCTCGACTACCGGGATCTCAACCGAGCCAGTCCGAAAGACGACTTCCCTTTGCCGAACATACACATCCTGATTGACAATTGCACCAAGCATGAACTGCAGTCATTTGCAGATTGTTTTGCTAGTTATCACCAGATCTGGATGGATGAAGAAGATCCTGAGAAAACGACTTTCATTACACCGTGTTATGTACTGTTACAAGATGATGTCGTTTGGCCTAAAGAATGTAGGGGTCACCTACATGAGGGCCATGACTACCATTTTTCATGATATGATACACAAGGAGATCGAGGTATATGTCGATGATGTCATCGTCAAGTCCAAGAAGTCTACTGATTACATGGAAGATTTGAGGAAGTTCTTCAATAGATTGCGAAGGTACAAGCTGAAACTGAATCCCGCGAAGTGCGCATTTAGGGTTCTTGTTGGAAAATTGCTTGGGTTTATTGTGAGTCACCGAGGAATAGAACTGGATCCATCAAAAGTCAAAGCGATCCAAGAATTGCCACCGCCAAGGAACAAGAAGGATGTGATGAGTTTCTTGGGAATGCTTAACTATATCAACCGATTCATAGCACAATCTACAGTTATCTGTGAGCCAATCTTTAAGATGTTGAAGAAGCACGCCGCTACCAAATGGACCGATGACTGCCAAAAAGCCTTCGATAGAATCAAGGAGTACTTGTCAACACCACCAGTCTTGGTCCCGCCTGAGCCAGGTAGACCATTATTACTCTACCTTGCAGTATTGGATGGAGCTTTCGGTTGCGTTCTAGGGCAGCATGATGAAACAGGGAGGAAGGAGCAGGCCATCTATTATCTTAGTAAGAAGTTCACCCCGTACGAGTCCCGGTATTCTCTGTTAGAGCGCACCTATTGTGCTTTGACTTGGGTATCTCAGAAGCTGAGGCATTATTTCTGTGCCTATACTACATATATCATATCAAGGATGGATCCTTTGAAGTACATCTTTCAGAAGCCCATGCCCACTGACAAGCTAGCCAAGTGGCAGATCCTATTGAGTGAGTTCGACATTGTGTACGTAACTCAGAAAGCGGTCAAGGGACAAGCACTGGCATACCACCTTGCAAAGAATCCTGTGGATGGAGAATACGAACCCCTGAAAACATATTTTTCTGACGAAAAGGTATCATTCATAGGAGAAGACATTGCAGAATCCTATGATAGCTGGAGAATGTTTTTGGTTGGAGCGGCAAACTTCAAAGGAGTTAGCATAGGAGCTGTCTTAGTATCAGAAATCGGTCAACATTATCTGGTGTCTGCCAAACTCAGGTTCCCCTACACCGACAACATGGCCGAGTACGAAGCCTGCAACTTAGGGCTCAAGATGGCCATTGACATGAACGGTCAAGAGTTGCTAGTGATTGGAGATTCAGACCTACTCATACATCAGGTGCGTGAAGAATGGGCAACCAAGAACTCCAAGATACTCCCATATTTGCATCATGTACAGGAATTAAGAAAGAGGTTCATGAGGACGGAGTTCCAGCATGTTCCCAGAGTCCAAAATGAGTTCGCCGATGCATTGGCTACCCTGTCATCTATGATACAACATCCAGAAAAGAATTTCATTGATCCCATTCTAGTAAAGATCCATGATCAGATAGCTTATTGTGCCCATGTTAAAGAAAAAGCAGGTTACTAAAAGGTAAGTTTTATAGAGCAGTGGTTAGGCCTGCCATGTTAGATGGAACTAAATGTTGGCCGGTAAAGAACTCACACATCCAGAAGATGAAAGTAGCAGAGATGAGNAAGAAAAAGCAGATGGAAAGCCTTGGTTTCAGGATATCCAGGAATATTTGGCAAAAGGAGAGTACCTAGAGCTTGAAAATCCTACTCAGAAACGCACACTTCGGAGATTGTCCAACAATTTCTTTCACAACGGAGGAATCCCGTATAGGTGGACTCCTGATTTGGGACTATTAAGGTGTATCGACGCAAAGGAAGCATCTAGGCTACTAGAGGAAATTCATGTCGGGACCTGCGGTCCACATATGAACAGTTTTGTCTTAGCAAAGAAGATACTTCGGCCCGGTTACTTTTGGATGACTATGGAAACGGACTGCATCCAGTATGTCCGAAAATGCCACCGCTGTCAGATGCATGCAAACATATTAAAAGTACCTCCAAATGAGCTTAATGCAACAAGCTCACCATGGCGGTTTGCCACTTGGGGAATGGATGTTATTGGGCCAATCGAGCCTGCCGCTTCCAATGGACACAGGTTTATCCTGGTAGCCATAGACTATTTCACCAAATGGGTTGAAGCAGCATCTTACAGAGCAGTAACTAAGAAAGTCATGGCAGACTTTGCCCGCGACCGCATTGTTTGTCGATTCGGGATTCCAGAGTCGATCACTACTGATAATGGCTCCAACCTCAACAGTGACTTGATGAAAGCTATGTGTGAAACCTTCAAGATCAAACATAACAATTACACAGCCTATAGGCCTCAGATGAATGGAGTTAGAGGTCGCCAACAAGAATATCAAGAAGATATTGAGAAAAATAATAGAGAGGCATAAATGGTGGCACGAAAAGTTATCATTTGCTCTATTGGGATACCGCACCACAGTCTGCACATCAACCGGGGCAACCCCCTATATGCTAGTTTACGGTACAGAGGCTGTCATTCCCCCTGAGGTAGAAATTCCTTCCCTAAGGATCATACGAGAAGCTGAGCTCGACGACGCGGAATGGGTGAAAAGTCGTTACAAGCAACTAGTCCTTATCGATGGAAAGAGAATGAATGCAGTCTGCCATGGTCAACTCTATCAGAACAAAATGTCCAAAGCCTTCAACAAAAGAGTCAAGCCGAGACAGTTCACACCGGGGCAGCTGGTGTTAAAGAAAATTTTTCTGTATCAGGATGAAGCCAAAGGGAAATTCTCTCCCAACTGGCAGGGTCCATATATGGTTCACCGGGTTCTAACAAGAGGAGCCCTCATACTTGCAGAAATGGACGGAGAAGTCTGGCCAAAGCCGATTAATTCAGATGTAGTCAAGCGTTACTATGTGTAATTTCCATGCTTCCCTTATATGATATAATTTGAACTACGCCTGACCTGATTCTTGTTTAAGAGGGGATACGTAGGCAGCC